CTGTACACCATCTTCGTGGCTAAGTGCGGGCAGGCCGGCAGCAAGGTGACCTTGACCGACTCCCGCGCCCACGCCATCAACAGGGCGAGGGTGCTCAAGGGGACCCAGGTGGTGATGCTCGTGTCGGCCGCCGAGCTGGACGTCGCGGACCGACTGCTTCCCTTCCGACTTCCGTCATCCGAGACCCCGCCTGTTATATATAATGTGTATATATACACATTTGATTAGGAGGTTCGGAGGGGGAGGGACCAACGTCACTCAATCGATCTGACTATCGATCTCACTATCGATATCGCTATCGATCCCACTCGATCGACAACTTCACTTTCGATCTCACTCGATCAATATCACTATCGGCCTCACTACCGATCTCACAACCAATATGCTATCGACCTCAATGCCCCTCTCACGATCGATCTCACCTATCGATCTCACAACTGACCTCACTATCGATATCGCCATCGATTCAACTATCGATCTTACCGATCTGATCTCTCTATCGATCTCAGTGCCGATTTCATTACCGACCGCCTTATCGATCTCACTATCTCGCCAGACAATTCAGGCGGGAGCCGTTGCTGTTGTACCCCTGGGACCAACAACGTACATTGAGCACCCAGGCTTTCCCTGATAAGAACTAGGTGCGAGCCTCGAGGGGCGCATTTCAGAGATATCCCCGATACCCGCTGTATTTCTCTGATCTCCTTGGGCATTACGTTCTCGCTGCCCGCCCGGGGGGAGGGGGACAGGGGCGGGGAGCGAGCGACGTCCGCCGCAGGACCTGCAGGTGTGCAAGCTGCGCCTTACCGCTGCGGAGGCGGTGGCTTTCTTCGAGCAGATCGACCGGGCGAAGTCTCGCCTGGGCATGCGTCGTGCCTGAGGCTGGCCGTTGCGTGCGCGGCGCGGCCAAGTGGCGGAGCGGAGGTGGCCTGAATCGTCGAAGGGGCGACGATAGTGGAAATGTCGACGACGACGAGCCTCGACGTGAGCCTCAGGGTGGGAGGCCGCATCGATGACGCATCGCGCGATGATTCGATCCATGGGGTCGGCTTCCCGGTGGCGCTGGTGCGTTGATAACTGCGCATCGGCCCGTGGGTCTCGGCTCTGCTCGCACTGATTGGGAATGGCCTCCCGTTTTCCGTTCCTGGTCAACTCCGTCCTCTCCTTTCCTTCCTCTCGCTTCCTCCTCCTTCCCCCTCCTCCTCCTCAGTCCCTTCCTTCCTCCGCCATCCCTCCTTCCCTTCTCCCGCTCTCTCTCTCTCTCTCTCTCTCTCTCTCCCTTTCTCCGTTCCTCCTCCTCCTCCTCCTCCTCCTCCTCCTCCTCCCCCTCCTCCTCCTCCTCTTATCTGCTTTTACTTCCTCGCAGCCCCCTCGGATGATACCCGAGGGCAGTTGCTCGCCCCTCGGGATGGCCTCCGTCGGGCTGCCGGCGACGACAGCCAGCGATGCGTGCGGTGGGGGAGGAGACCACGGAAGGCGGCGGGAACGGGACATGGGGGCACGGAGGGACGGGGTCAGGGAGCGGGAGGGATGGGGGCATGGGGGCATGGGCCTGAGACCCTGAACCGAATACGCAATAACGCAATAATCGAATACGCAATATCTGCAACCCCCTCCCCGGGACCTGGGCGGGGGCGGTCGCGAGGGGTTGGAACGTCTAAAATGGCCCAGGGCGGCTCCAAGAGCGCCTCGGACAGCCCGAGATGATATCCAAGATTGCTCAAGACAGCCTAAGATGCCACAAGATGGCTCCGAATATGTTCCAAGAGGCCCCAAGGACGCTCCAAGACGGCTCCAAGAGCCAAAATAGCTCCCCAAGGAGGCCCCCATGATGCCCAAATCCTTCAAAAATCATTAGAAAAACAATGAGTGTTGTCTTCTCGCAAAATCGTTTCCTATGGCATTGCTTGGCATTGCTTATAAGCTATTTGCTTGCCAGTGCTTGCTTGGCATTGCTTAGTGGCGCCTGGCGGCGCCGCCGCCGCTCCCCCCCCCCTCCTACCCTCCCACCCCTCCCCCACCGCCCTCCGCGCGACGGCGTTCTTTTTTGGGGGGGGGCCCATCGCGTGTTTCGTGGCCCCAGTACCCGCGCCACAGCACCTGCATGGCGGCCCCGCCGATTCCCATTTTGGCGCGCTCTCCTCACGCGTTGCGCGGCCCCGCCCTAGCGGCGCCCCTGCCCATTTGCGCGGCGCCCCTCTCCCCGGCTCAGATAGCTCCGAAAACAGCGACCCCCTAAACGACTTCTCCTGACCCCAGAAAGAGTGCGTCCTTCGCCCAAACAATGTTATACGCGAGTTCCAAATTTCGGTGATTCCTAGCATCAATGCGACGCGACACGCCCATGGCAACGCACAACCAATATGCGCCCCCTTCGCCGAACCGCCGCGGCCAGCGGCGCCCGATGCCACAGCCGCGACGCGGCTTCTTAATGTCTAAAAACTGTTTATGTTTGGTTTGGGAAACAATTTTAAACATGGCTTTCCCCAGCGCTGCAGCGCGCTTATAAACAAAAACAAGAGGGAGGCGGGGCAAACTGGATCGCTGGAGACGTCCCCGCGACCGCCCTGGCGCCCCGCGTCGATTCCTGCGCGCCCCCTCTTGGCGTCAGGCCACGCCTGCCACGCCCTGCGACCCCAGCGGATATAGACTGCGGTCAGGGACCACTCCCTGCGCGCCGCGCGCCTTGTCTGGGTTGCGAAGCGGCGCTGCGTACGCAAATGCGCACGCCGCTGATAGATTCTAAACTCCAAAATGCGGGGCGATGTGTAACTCCAAAACCCAATGGCGAAAACCCAATGTAAAAATTCATTCTCTGGCATCCCAATGTGGATATACGACACTGAACGCAAAAACGCCCATCGCCAACACGCGCGCGCGGCGGCGGCATGCCGCTGATAGATTTGATGCAACGGGACGAAATTTCGCGCGCGCGTGGTGGTGGTATGCCGCTGATAGATTTGATGCAACGAGACGAAATTTGATATCCAAGACCCAATGGCGAAAACTCAATGTAAAAAATCATTCTCTGATCGGAGGACAGGGGCATCTCCATGTGGATATGCGACGCCGAATGCACAAATGCCAATCGCCAGCGAGCGCCCGCGCGGCGGCGGCATGCCGCTGATAGATGTGATGCAACGGGAGCGATGGTGCACCCCAAAACCCAATGGCGAAAACCCAATGTAAAAATTCATTCTCTGATCGGAAGACGGGAACATCCCAATGTGGATATACGACGCTGAATGCAGAAATTCAAATCGCCAGCGCGCGCGCGGCGGCGGCATGCCGCTGATAGACTTGATGCAAAGGGAGCGATGTTGAACTCCAAAACCCAATGGCAAAAAAAAACAAAAACCAAACAAAAAAAACTGCAACTATTCATTCTCAGACCGGAAGACGGGGACATCCACGCCGACTGCGCAGAAGCCTATCGCCAACGCGCGCGCGCGGCGGCGGCATGCCGCTGCTAGAGTTTATATCACGGGAGCGATGTTGAACTCCAAAACCCAATGGCGAAAACCCCATGTAAAAATTCATTCTCTGGTCCGAAGACGGGAACATCCCAATGTGGATATACGACACGGAATGCAAAAATGCAAATCGCCAGCGCGCGCGCGGCGGCGGCATGCCGCTGATAGTTTTGATGCAAAGGAAGGACCCAATGGCAAAAACCCAATGTAAAAATCCATTCTCAGTCAGATCGGCAGACGGGGACATCCACGCCGACTGCACAGAAGCCTCTCGCCAACGCGCGCGCGCGGCGGCGGCATGCCGCTGCTAGATTTTTTATAACACGGGAGCGATGTTGAACTCCAAAACCCAATGGCGAACACCCAATGTAAAAATTCAATCTCTGGTCGGAAGAAGGGGACATCTTCATGTGGATATGCGACACAGATGCCAAGAACCCACGCGCGCGCGCGCGGCGGCGGCTGACCATGGGAGCGACGTTGCACCCCAAGGCCCAATGTCGAAAACCCAATGTAAAAATCCAATGTCATTCTCTGATCGGAAGACGGGGACATCCCCATAAGGCTATACGGCACTGAGTGCAAACAATGTCAGGCGCCAGCGCGCGCGGCGGCGGCCTCGCTGATAGACGTTGCACAGGAGGGCGAAATTTCGCGCGCGCGGCGGCGGCATGCCGCTGATAGATGCGATACAACTGGAGCGATGTTAAACCCCAACACCCAATGGCGAAAACCCAATGTAAAAATGCATTCGCTGGTCGGAAGACGGGAACATCCCCATGTGGATATGCGACGCTGAATGCAAACATGTAAATCGCCAGCGCGCGCGCGGCGGCGGCATGCCGCTGATAGATTTGACGCAAAGGGAGTGGTGCTGAACTCCAAAACCCAATGGCAAAAACCCAATGTCGATCGGAAGACGGGGACATCAGGAGCCGATCGCCAACGCGCGCGCGCGGCGGCGGCATGCCGCTGCTAGATTTTTATACCGCAGGAAAACTGGCGAAAACCCAATGTAAAAATTCATTCTCTGGTCGGAAGACGGGGACATCTTCATGCGGATATGCGACCAAGGACCAACGCGCGCGCGCGGCGGCGGCTGCCTCATGCCGCGGGTAGGTGTTATACCACGGGGGCGATGCTGCACCCCAAAACCCAATGGCGCAAACCCAATGTAAAAATCCATTCTCTGATCGGAAGACGGGGGCATCCCAATTTGGACATGCAGCGCTGAATGCAAAAATGCCAAGGGCCAACGCGCGCGCGTTGGCAATTGGTGTGCATGCATACCCGTCTTCCGATGAGAAAATGCATTATTGCATTGGGTTCTGGAATTCAACATCACTCCCGTTGTATGACTTTTTCATCGGCATGCCGCCGCCGCGCGCGCGCGGGCGATTGGCATTTGCGCATGCCGTGTCGCATATCCACATTGGGATGTCCCCGTCGTCCGATCAGAGACTGAAGTCTTACATTTGGTTTTCGCCATTGGGTTTTGAAGTTAAACATCGCCCCCGCTGTAGCAAATCTATCAGCGGCGCGCCGCCGCCGCGCGCGCGTTGGCGCTTGGCATGATTGCACTCAGCGTAATATATCCACAGTGGGATACCCCCGTCTTCTGATCAGAAAATGATGTTTTACATTCTGGGTTTTCGCCATTGGGTTTTGGGATGCAACATCGCCCCGTTGTATCAAATCTACATGCGGCATGCCGCCGCCGCGCGCGCGCTGGAGTTTTGTATTGTTCACAATACAGAACTCCCCAACATGCGTCGGCCTCCTTAAAGGGCCCCAGAAAATTTCCAATTCAGTTTTTGGAATTACATGTTGACTTCTATATTGTGGGCAACACATAACTCAGACGCGCGCGCGCGCGCGTCGGAGTTCTGTATTGTTTTTAATACAGAACTCCCCAACATGCGTCGGCCTCCTTAAAGGGCCCCAGAAAATTTCCAATTCAGTTTTTGGAATTACATGTTGACTTCTATATTGTGGGCAACACATAATTCAGACGCGCGCGCGCGCGCGTCGGAGTTCTGTATTGTTTTTAATACAGAACTCCCCAACATGCGTCGGCCTCCTTAAAGGGCCCCAGAAAATTTCCAATTCAGTTTTTGGAATTACATGTTGACTTCTATATTGTGGGCAACACATAATTCAGACGCGCGCGCGCGCGCGTCGGAGTTCTGTATTGTTTTTAATACAGAACTCCCCAACATGCGTCGGCCTCCTTAAAGGGCCCCAGAAAATTTCCAATTCAGTTTTTGGAATTACATGTTGACTTCTATAGTGTGGGCAACACAGAACTCAGACGCACGCGCGCGCGCGCGTCGGAGTTCTATATTGTTTTTAATACAGAACTCTCCAACATGCGTTGGCCTCCTTAAAGGGCACCAGAAGTTTCCAATTCATTCTGGAATTACATGTCGGCTTCTCAGTCTCTATTGTGGACAGTACAGAACTCAGGCGCGCGCACCAATAAAACAGTTGACATGTAATTCCAAAAACTGAATTCAAAATTCCTGGTGGTCACCCGCGCGCGCGCGCATTGTCCACAACAGAAAAGTTGTCATGGAATTCCAAAAACGGAATTCAAATTTTCGGTGGCCCCTTAAGGAGGCCGACGGTGACGCGCGTGCGCGCGCGCGCGTTGGAGTTCAGCATTGTCCACAATGGGAAATTTGGCATGTAACTCTAAAAACTGAATTCAAAATTTCTGGGGCTCTTTAAGGAGGCCGACGGCGACGCGTGCCATGGCCACCCGCGCGCGCGCGCGTTCTGCATTGTCCACAACAGAAAATTTGCATGAAACTCCAAAAACTGAATTCCAAATTTCGGTTGCTCTTTAAGGAGGTCGACGGCGACGCGTCGCGCGCGCGCGCGGCGGCGGCGTGCCGCTGATAGGTTTTTACAACGGGAGCCAGGTTGAATTCCAAAATCCAATGGCGAGAACCCAATGTAAAAAATCATTCTCTGATCGGAAGACGGGAACATCCCCATGTGGACATGCGACACTGAGTGCAAAAATGGCAATCGCCAGCGCGCGCGGCGGCGGCATGCCGCGGGTGCGATGTTGAACTCCAAAACCCAATGGCGACAACCCCATGTAAAAATCCAATCTCTGATCGGAAGACGTGAACATCCCCGTCGGCACTCTCCCTTTTCCAGGGGGGCATATAAGAAAATAGTTATTCGGATGCGAATTAATGGCAATCGGGGTCGGGGGGGTCTCATTTTTGAAAACCGGCTTTGGACATTACAATGCTCGCTAGCGAGGGCGCATTGGTACTTCCGTGAAGGGTTTCAGTGAATGCTGACTACGCAGCGTGCGCGGCTGCGCCATCTGGGTCTGGCGGCGCCGCAATCCGACGCCCATCGCGCATCGACCGCATTGCCGGCGCCCCGGGCGCGCGCGCGCCGAAGGGCGGCACGAGCGTGGATTGGCCTCTCAAGTCGGCCAATCTAGCGAGGCCTTGGGAGGCTCGGCCCGCGACGACGCATCGCCCCAGCCGAAGCGCCTTGTCATCGACAGCTACGGCGGGCGCGACTTCCATGGCAGGGGCGCCCGCGGTATCACCGCCCCGAAGGTGCGCCTTCCAGGGGGTGCTTACTTTGACCTCGACTACCAAGATTCGACGTAGAAGGGGCCCTCGCGCCAACGGGAGGCGCCCCCGTCGAAGAGTTCATGCGGTCGCATTGGCTACGCACAGCAGAGAAGTCGCGCATCGCAATGGGGATTAATTATTGCAATTATACGTCGTGGCCGAGGAATTCCTAGTCCCGCCGAGCGCAACTTCGGGCTGCGGATTCCGAGAATGGCGCGGCAGCGCCTTCCTCGAGTGCGTCGTCGACGACCTCGTCCGCGACTTGGTCCACGACGGGCTGAGGTTTGGACGCGCGCGCCTCTTCGTGGTCAATCGACCTGGCCGAGGAGACACCTGGAAGCTGCGCGCGCCGCGCGTGACCTGTTGAGCATCACCAAAGCGGCGACAACAATTCAAAAGTCGATGCGAGGTCCAGTTCTTCGGCGCGGACAAGGCGCGCGTGAGCGGACGTCGAACATTCGGAGCAGCGGGCCGCCCCGAAGTTCCAGCCCCCCCGCCGCCCTTTCAATAATCTCGGGGGACTTTGGAGTGGAACGCGCGGTTTGATTTGGAGCGCGGGCTCTGAGCGGCCATGCCCGTGTCTGGACCACTCCAGATGCGTCGACGGGCTTTGTAACTGAGTTGGATCACTCGCGGATGCACTGCTCCACTTCAGCTACCACTACGCGGATGGGAACTGCGTCCTCTGCGACCTCCAGGGCTTTGATAACAACAAACGCATTCTCAGACAGACCCTGCGATTCGGTCGACAAACGTCGACTGGGCGGCCCATCGCGCCAATGGGTGATTCGGCCGGACAGGCCACAATGGCGCTGCGTTCTGCGGCTGTGTTCCTGCCCAGCGGCACGGCCACCAAGTGGGTCGGCGTTTCTCGCGCCTCTCCGTAGCAGCCGGCCCCCGACGGGGCGCCTTCCCAGACGACGCCCGCGGATTCGCGGCGGACGGCGGGCCCGCGCGGCGCGCCGTCGGCGAAGCGCAATGCGGCAATGCGTTCAGCCCTGCCATTGGCGGCGGGGGCGCCATCGCGCGGCGTCGGCAAAATGGGCATTCACACGCCGAAGTAGCCAAAGGAAGCGTTCGCGAGCCCCGCGGTCGCAAGGATGCCGTAAGGTGGCGGCGGCGCGGCGCCAGTCTCATCGCGCGGGGCCATTGCGTCGTCGCGCGCAAGCACCGGGCCTTTCGCGTCGTCCCTCTCCTCCCATCGCCGCGCGCCTGAGTCGCGGGCGCCCTGCCCTCCCTGCGCCCCGGCCTCGCCGTGCCGCCCTTGCCGCCGCCGCGCCTTCCGCGGCGGTGCGTTTCTCGGGCCCTCTTGATGCGCCCGGCGGGCTGCGCCCGCCGCCAGCGCCGCGAGGCAGCGGCGCGTTCGTGCTCACGCAATGCTCCAAGATTTGCGTACATAAGCCTGTCAGAGGCAAACGCGTTTATGATTATAACGATATGAGAATCATATGTTGGCTTTTGTCAATTCTCCCGGGCGTAACGTGACGTTCAATATCGCGCACGTCCTTCTCGTGCAGCCCATGGCGACACCTGCCCATTTCTCGCGGCGCGCTGCCCTAACGTCGGCGCTGCTGGGGCTGTCCCTCCCCTCCACTTCGGCCCGACCCTTGCCCGTCGGATGCTCGAGGGCCCGTCGGTCGGGGGGCCAGGCGAGGTGGCGCGGTGGGCGGGGGGGGGGGGGTCGAGCCCATGGGTGATCGTTAAGTTCTTTAACGCGCGCGAGGTCGCACGCGCGTAAAATCCCGCCCGGTTTACATTATTATGTTGATTGTGTTCGTTCTGTTGATCATGTTGATTATGTTGTTTGTGTTGGTTCTGTTGTTTCTGCCGATTATGTTGCTTGCTTCTGTTGATAGTATTGAATCTGTTGATTATGCTGATTGTGTTGATTGTGTTGGTTATGTTCATTGTGTGGCGAATGTGGTATGATTATGAGTTGCTTTGCAATGTTAGTCTATGCCATTGTCGTGCTGTTGTATCCATTTCCAATTCCGTGGTGTGCGAATATGGTATGCGAACACTATTATTTGCCGTGCCGATGCTAATGCCATGCTCATGCTGTGCTCATGCCGTGCTTCGCTATGCAATGCTGATATGCGATATGACTTGGCCCGTGCCCCTCTCTCAGACAACCTGCACTTGAACAGCGCGTAGGAGAGTACCCTGTGTGTTTCCTTCCATTTCCGAACTGTCAGACTGAGGGGTGGGCAACGGCTATGGGGGGTGGGCGGGGGCGGAAGCGGGGGCGGGGGGGGGCTGTCGGGGGGATGGGGTGGCGGGGGGACGGCGGCGGTGGTGGATATGGGGGGGGCGGGGGAAAGGGGCGCCCCCGCGGGATATCAGGGGGCGAGAAGGATGGGGGCGATGAGGGTAAGGAAGGAGGGGGGGAGGATGGCAAGGATGACGATACGGAAAGGGGCGATGACGGGGGAGGTGAATATCGATGATGATGATGATGATGATGATGATGATGATGATGATGATGAGGATGCTGGTAATGATGATGGTGACGATGATGATGATGATGATGATCCTGATGATGATGGTGGTGCGGATGATGACGATTACAATGATTATGTTGATGAAGATGATGATGGCATAACGACAATGCGAGGAGGAGGAGGAGGAGGGAGGAGGAGGAGGAGGAGGAAGAGGAGGAGGAGAAGGATGTGAGGGCAACATGATGGTAAAAGCTGGAGGTGACTGTGTCACTTGGGGAGACGTTTGGGGTCATCTTGCATTGGGCGGTTGCCTTCGGGGTCCCGATTGGGGGCGCATTCCTGGACTGGGCCCGCCTCATGGGGCCGTCTGTGTTGGGGGCCGTCTTTAAGACTCGCATCTTAGGGGTCGGGTAGTTGTTTTTTGTTGGGGGGGGGGGGTCGTACTCGGGCGTCTTAAAAGGCCTTCTTGGGATCATTCTCAATGGATGGGGCCGTCTTATCCTCCTCCCCTCCCTCTGTCTTCTTCCATTTCTCCTCAGATTCATTTCCCTTGTCCTGGTCTCTCTATCCCTCCTCCGCTTGGTCTCGATATCTCATTGGTCTTATAGTTTCTCCCAGGCCTCCTCGGTCCTTCCTGCCTCCTGATTTCGCCCCTCAGATCCTCATCACCATCTTTCCTCCTCGGTAGCCTCCCCATTGGCTTCCAACTTCCTCCTTTCTTGCTCCTCACTCTGGTCCTCTCCCCTCCTCCTCCCCCTCCTCCTTCTCATCCTCATCCTCATCCTCATCCTCTTCCTTCCTCATCGTCTTTGTCCTCGTCCTCCTCTTCCCCCTCCGTGCCACTCCTGCGCCCGGGGACGGGCGCCGTGGCGATCGTCGACGGCGACGCCGTCCGACAAGGCCCGGGCGCGCCGCCCGCCGCGCACCGCGCGCCGCGCGCGGGCCGTCGTCGCCCGCTCTCCATTCATGTATCGTCGGTCTTCTGGAAGCCCCCCCTCTGCTGCGTGCAAAGTCCTCGTCGTTCCCCAAATTAGGCTTTGCCAGAGGGTCTCAATAGCCAGTTGTCAGGCCTGGTAGTCGTCGGCCTTCCTCGGGGTCCTTGGTCTCGTGTCTTGCTGACTTCCTCGGGTTCCTTGGTCAGGGTCCTTGGTTTTGGTTCCTCGTTGCCTTCCCCATGTTACCCCCAATTGGGTTCGCGCAGTGTTCAGCCCGAGAGCTTGTATTCCCTACCTTAGACTCTGCCTAGAAGGGATCTTACCCTGTATGCTTAAAGAGCCGGGCAGTGTTCCTCGCCCCGGGCGGTGCCCCCGGCATCCGCCCCGCGGTTCCCCCAGTGACGCCCCCTTAGCTCAGCGTTGCTTATCTCATCTTAGCTTAGCTTATTTCATCTTAGCTTAGCTTAGTTTCATCGTAGCTCAGGTTTATCTTAGCTTAGCTTACCTTCAGTGTAGGTTCGCCGAGCTTGAGCACAGCACAGCACAGCATAGCATAGCAAAGCGTAGCACAGCATTTCATAGCATAGCGCAGCATAACATAGCATAGCATAGCGCAGCACAGCACAGCACAGCACAGCGCAGCATAGCACAGCATAGCAGAGCATAGCGCAGCATAGCATATCATATCATATCATAGCACAGCATAGCATAGCGCAGCATAGCAGGGCATAACATAGCATAACATATAATGCTGCTTTCCTAGGGGCTCCAACTTCTAGGTAGGGTCGCGCTGGGGTAATCATGCTAAGGTGGGAGCTGAGAGATCCCCAGTTGACCTCCTCGTCTCGCCGCCTCCGCCTCCGCCTCCTCCTCCGTCTCCTCAGCCTGCGCTGCCTCCTCCTCCCCCCTCCTCCTGCCTCCTTTGAGTCCTCCACCTCCTCCTCCGTCCGCCTCCTCCTGTTCCTCCTCCACCTCCACCTCCGCCTCCGCCTCCTCCTCCTCCTCCTCCTCCTCCTCCTCCTCCCAGCCTGCAGCCCAACTGAGACGGAGCACCAGAAATTATTTGGGGCGATGTCGGGTCAACGCTCGACGACTCGACTTGGGAAGATTTCCAACTTGAGAGTGTGGGCGAAGGCGTTGCAGCGCGGGTCCTTGCTCCCACGCTCGGCTGCGCGGGTGAGTGTGGGAGGCCTCGTGTTTTGGGGTGGTGTCACTGTATGGGGGAATGCGTTGCAGCGCGGGCCCTTCCCCCCACACAGTGGCGCATCTCAAAAAACGAGGCCTCCCACACTCGGCTGCGCGGGTGAGTGTGGGCCCAGGCGTTGCACTGCGGGGGCTTCCTCCCACGCCCTCAGCCGAACCACCTCGGACAGATAATTTGGATTTCGAGTTCTGGCTGGCCTTAAGGGTCGACGTGCCCAATCGACGTGCCCACCCTCTGGACCCCGGCTTGGGCGCGTGGCTCAGGATGCGGACGCATAGTCTCAGGGGAGGGGGGATGATGATGATAATGAGGAGGGGGTGACATGGGGGCAGAACGAAGGAGGAGAATGATGATGAGGAGGAGGAGGCGGAGGTGTAACAATGCGGAGGTGCTGGCAACATGAATGATGACAATGACGATGATCGTCTTAGCCGTTTTGGCAATCTAGGGTCGCTGTTGTGTAACGGTCGTCGCTGCGCGAACTCACCTCACGTTCACTGTGCTTTGAAATTTGTACTGTGCCATGGCACGACGGGCTCCCCCTGGCGCTGCTCCTCCCACTGGGCGTGGCGGGAAGGGCGGCAGGGGCGGCGGCGGCAGGGGCGACGCTGGCGGCAGGGGCGGCCGCGGGCGCAACGGGCAAGTCCAGCAGCAGCAGATCAGCGACGTCATCGTCGCGGACACCGTCAATGCCGAGCACAACTCGATGATCGAGGCCAAGTGGCGGACCTGCCTGACGCACGACGTCTTGAGCGACTTGCCCGGCTGCGAGCCGCTGCCGCCGTCAGAAGGCGGCAACCAGGCTACTTGGGCCAACCGCGACGACGACGAACCCCAAAACTGCATTGGGCCGATAGTCCGAACCCCAAACAGCCTTGAGTCGATAATCCGAGCCCAACAATTTCACAGGAACAACATCAAAATCACGTGTGTGTTCGTGTTTCTGATTGTTCCGCTTCTTCAGCACCCAGCTAACTTGCAGAACAGTGTCCGGCTGAGTTTGTGCGTGCGTGTGTGTGCGTGTGTGTGTGTGTGTGTGCGTGTGTGTGTGGTGTGGTTGCGTTTTAAGGCGGGGCTTCGCGTCGTCGTTCTTTGCCTTTGCCCATCGCCAGGCCCCGTTCGACGCCGCCGCCTGGAAGGACTGCGTCAAGTTCAAGACGGACTACAAGTGCGCCATCAACTTCGCCTGGCAGGACATGCAGAACCACGTGCTCGTGAATGTGCCGATCAACGTTCGCAAGATCAACAATCTGGTCGACTTCTACTTCCAGACCCCCGCCCAGATCCCAATCGAGATCACCCTTGCGGTCGACAAGGACGAGGAGGACCCGCTGCAGCGCAAAGGCAAGCTGGTGCGGCTTTCACCCGCCGAGATGAAGGATGCCGCGATCATCGCGGTCGAGCGCGACGTCTCCAACGGGGCCGACGATGAGGTGATCAAGCAGTGGAAGCGGGTCTTGCTCTCTGCGACTGGGGTCTTCTTCGCAGCCGAACATGATGACGATCGCCACTTCAAGGCGAATCAGATCAGGGAGAACTTCGGCGAGAACTTTGCTACCATGAGGCTCTCGGCCCTCCAGCGCGTATGCGACGTCGCGGAGTTCCAGGCGCGCAAGGAGAAGACCACAGGCCCGATCGGGGCCAAGGGCATCGCCGAACTCTACAGGTCGAAGCTGAATATGGCCCAGACTTCGGATAAGATCACAGACGGCTTCGTCGACAAGGCCCTGACGATATCGAGTCGAGTGCTGAACATTCCAAAGGTCAGGAAGCTCTTGCAGGAGGCCGACGGGTGGGCTCATGGAAACAACCCGTTGGACTCCGTCACGAAACTGCAGCTCGTCGTGGACAAAGCGAAGACGGCACCGATGATCGAGTGGTCAGTTGAGCTGATTCTGGACTTGGCTAAGAGCGGAGCGCTATCCGCAGAGCAATGCGGCACTCGCGCGATTGAGGGTAAGCTTCCCGGCCAGGGAGGGAAGGGGCTTGTTGATTTGATGATGTTCAAGCTCGACCTCAAAAACTACCTGCTCTCGACGGTCCTTGACTCCAAACATTGGGATTCATCGCACAAGGAGGTGATCCGCATCGCGTTCGACAGCCTCGAGTCGACTCGGGAGAAAACTGGGTACGCTTTCAATCCGACCTTCAAGCCGGTGAAGCAGGGATGGAAGGCTGGCATCCCCAAGAGCGCAGACGTCTTCATCAACCTGATCGAGGCTAGGGGGCTGGTACCAATGGTGATGACGATGACGACGGAGGAGGATGAGGAGGAGGAGGAGGCGGTGGAGGAGGGATGAGGGAGGCTGCGGAGGAGGAAGATGAGGGAATCCAGAATACTGGTAAATGATAAGGGAAGGCACGGCGAGCGACGGAGGGGTAAGACAGAAGCCCAATGCCTTCTTCGAAGCTCTCGTCGTCCTCCGAAGACTTCGTCGAACGCCGAAACTCTCGTCGAGCTCCCTCCCCGGCGCTAGCCTTGCCTCCCCAACGGGATCGCCCTGACCGTCGGATGGATCTGACACCTCGGTCAACCCCTTCCCTTGGCCCCTCGGTCTCCTCCTCTTCTTCCCCCTCCTCCTCCCCAACCCCCTCTCAAGCCTCGCCTCCTTCTCACCCCAACCTCCTCCCCCTCTCCCTCCCCCCTCCCACTCCTAGCACTCCGTGTTCGGCTACATGTACAACAGCGAGATCCAGAGCGCCATGCGGAATCGGAAGGGCATCGGCGAGATGCTAGGGGCCTCCCCCTTCGACGAGATCCTCGAAGACATCGACGCTAAGCTGGAGGCTGAGAAACCGTCGGAGCCCGAAGGTGCAGACCCAGCGGGCGAGAAAGGCGGAGACCCCATGGCTGAGACTTGGGACGCTGCTTTCACGGATAACCCCGAGCTGAAGAAAATGGAAGAGAAGATGGACGAGGAACAGGTTTCGAAACTCGAGAAGTTTAAGTGCATGGCGCGGAACCTGGTGAACTCGCACGTCGATCTCATCCCCGAGACATTGCCCAATGAGGAGATAGTCCGACAGATCCAGGATTCGGCGGCTTGCAAGGTCGAACACACGCCCGATCATAGAACATTCACTGCAATCGTGTACGACCCTCGGTGCTGTGGCGTCTCCAGTTCTAACCCGACGCTTCGCGTCCCGGGCCTCAGGACCAACGGGGAGCACCTGAAGACCCTCGCAAAATTGGTTTTCCGTGCGCGAGGCGACGAAATCAAGGATAACGACATGTGGTTCCTGTTCGACGCCGGGCGCGCAGGTTGCGCAGGGCACTCCAATTGAATCACCCCCGAAACGAAGTAAGACCCCGAGTCAAACCAAGACACCCTAGAATCCCGCCTCCTCCCCCTCCTCATCGTCGAACCTCCTCCTCGTGCCCATCCTCGGCGTCGTCGTCGTCGTCCTCCTCCTTCCTCCTCCTCCCCCTGAGGCGAGCCGATCGGCTTCCTATGGGGAAGGAGCGGGGTCGCCCGTGATCCTGAAACCATACTGCCTACCTGACCTACGGGCCTACGGGGCCCTAAAACTCCCGCATGAGGAGGGGGGGGAAGGAGAGGAGGATGAGGAGGAGGAGGAGGAGGAGAAATATGTTTTTTCTCCATCCGAAAGGCAACAAGAACACCTTGCTTTCGGCCTTCACCAACGACGACGGCGTGGCGCACGCCAAGAAGGTCCGGCCGATCCTCATACACGCGAGTGAGGAGAGCATCTCAGAGCGCTACGAGGGCCACCTGCGCTCCTTCACCACGATTGAGCAGCACGAGAACATGTACATCGTCACAAAGGACAACCTCGAGCTCAAGGAGCACGATTCGCTCCACTTCGAGGGCACGAACCGCGGGAACATGATAGGTCCCGTGGGGCTACCAAGCTGGAAGGACGACAATGAGGTGTGGCGCATCCCCGTCGATCTCAAGAAGGAGGTCTTGGGCAAGGATGGCATCGTCCTCGTCGGCGGCGCGGCGGACCAGGGTGCCAAAGCGGCTGAGGCCGCGGTCAAGAGCAAGCAGAAGACGACTGGTACCGATGGAAAGGAGACCGTGTTCTGGCACGCGCTGCCTGAACCCGTGGACGAAGAGCTGGTTCACAGATACGACCTCAAAGCTGTGATCAATCTGACGGTGGGGCCAGCGATGCTGGCCATGGCTTGCCTGCGCAAGCGTAGGCCCTACTGCGGGATCACGTTGACGCAGAAGCATGCCGACCTGATCATCCAGCACCTGGAGATGAAGGTCTTCAAGGCGATGCAGACCGAGGGGGACCCCCTGCACGAGCCGAGCCTCGCGGAGTTGCTCAATGTGTTCAAGGAGGAGCCGGCGGAAGAGGAGAACCAGACCCCGCCGCCGAAGCCGAAGCGGAAGCCCAGGCGCAAGAAGGCGGACGAGGCCGGCGCCGGTGGCGAGGACGGCGGCGAGGACGGCGGCGAGGAGGGCACCGGGGAGAAGCCGGCCAAGAGGGGCAGGAAGGGGGGCTCCAAGATGACCAGGGCTGAGCTGCTGAAGAAGCTGAAGGCGGCTGGCGTGGCGGGTGAGGGAGGTGCCGATGTGGACGAGGCTGAGGACGCGGACTCGGCATCAGGAAAGGAGGAGTGAGTGAGACGTGACGACGAGCAACAGTATGCTAGCAGGCGCCGACGGCCCCCGGCGAGTGAATGAGTCTGCCAGGCTTGCTTTACAAGCCTCGCCGCAGGCCAGAGGGGTGGCTGCTTTTAGCCACGCCGACGGGCGCGCTGGTGCCTCTTTGGTTTCGGATGGCTGTGCGCAGCCATCGACAGCAGAGTAATAATTGAGGGAGGGAGGGAGAAAGGGAAAGGGTAGGGAGGTGGGCGCCAACTATGCTCTAGTTTGGTAAAGATCTACAAACATCCGTTGATTCTGAGATGTCTCTGAAAAAAGAAACCGGCGGGACCTCATTTAGGGGCGGATGTATATTGCATGGGTGCGTTTCTTTGCATTTCTTGGCATTAATGGTCATTGCTTGCTTCTGCATTGCTTGGTCATGTTTGGCATTGCCTTGGAACCGATGCCATGGGAACCGAGGAATGCAGCGCGGACCTAAGAATACCAAAATGAAACAGGCCACGGGGCCAAGACCTCCAACACCAAGTAAGACCCCTGAGGCAAAGCCTAATCAGAAAAAATACGACTGCCTCGACACCGCGGGTGGACTTGATAATGAATGAGCCGCCTCCATCATGATGGAGGTGGCGCCCTCGTCGCCATCTTCGTCGTCCTCCTCCTCCTCCTCCTTATCATCCTTGTCCTCCTCCTTCTCCTCATCCCCCACTTTTGCAGCCTCTGGTGCTCGAGGATACGCTCTCGCTCTCAATTTTGTTGGACCGCCGCAGCATCCTACAATATACCGTTTGCGATGCCCGACCCTGCGCCTCAGGCACCTCCGAGGCACACCGTCAGAACCCAATACGCTGGGATTTGCGTGAATCTGAACATCCCCGACCTCCCCCGTGAATTGCGTCGCAACTATCTCACGTACGCTCCAGTGCGAATCCAACTGCGCCCGGCAGGAAACGCGGGGGGTAAATCTGTCTCCGTACTCGTCCTCAAGGTCCGCGGGCCCACTCCGCCTCCTCGCCATCCTCCGTCCTCCTCCCTCCTCCTTCTCGAAATCCTCTCCTTTTCGTGCCGTCTTCTCGTCCTCGCCCTCCTCCCTCCTTATCCTTCCCCCCGCTCGCTCTTTCCCACTGGCCCACCTCCTACCTTCCACCCCTTTGTCCACGCTCTGCATCCCCCCCCACCGTTTGACGCATCGTTGCCGGCGAGCCCGCCAGGAGAAGGCGCTGCAACGCCGAATGGCTGGGCCGACGTCAACATGACACCGTCCGACCAGGTCGGAGATGATGACTTCAAGTCCGCAGCAGAGAGGGCCCTCCAGGATAGGCGCGATTGCGAGAAACGCATTCGCGAGCTCGATGCCCAGATCGCGGAGTACAGGAGGAAGGCCGCCGAAGCGGAGCCCGCCAGTCTTGAGGCCCAGGAGCCTTCGCCTAACGCCGGCCGTAAGCGGCCACTGGAAGCTGAGGCCCCCGCTGAGGCCCCCGCTGAGGCCCCCGCTGAGGCCCCCGGGCCGATAGATATAGATAGGTGGCCTGCTGGAATGATTCTCAGCTCCACCCCATGGCTAAGCGCTAAGAGAACTAAGGGCGTCGGCGTCGAGGGTTCCCAGTCCGCTGACGCCGCGATCCAGGTCCAGTCAGCTACCGCGCAGCCAGAGCCGGCGGCTCCTGCCAGCTCCAGCAGCGAAGCGCCGACGATCCCAGCCACGGGCGCGTCTTTAAGCGCGGCTCTGGCAGCAGCCTTTGCATCGGGGAGCGTCGTCGAGGTCGACGAATCCCAGAATTCCCAGAATTCGCAGGGTGGCGACCTCGCCGGTCCCTCTCTGGCTGCTTATGACCCCTATCCAGAAGGGACGCAGCCGCCTTAGCCTCACCAGCAGCCTAAGAGATGAGGGGAATGAGGAGGACTACGATGGTGATAAAAACGACTCTCTCATCCTCCTCTTCCTCCCCCTCCTACTCGTGGGGGTGGGCACTCGTGTACGGCTGGCTGTTCTGCTGTGCGCCAACCTGCTTGCGGCCTGGGGTGGCCCTGTCCGTCCCTGGGAGTGGACATCTAATTTAGGCTCAACCGTCCGCCTCAACGGAGGTTCGCCTTCCTTCCGCGCGTTTCACCACGGCCGTCTTGCGTCTCGGTTATTTGGTGCTCCAGGGACCGCGGGAATGGGCTGCCAACATGCCCTGCGCGGAGTTTGGGATCTCAGAGGCTCGGAGGCATTCAGAGCCATGCATAGGCTAGATTTCCGTGCGTGCTCGCGGCTGGGGGCCTCTAACTATGGTGGCGGGAGGCAGGAGTCAAGTTGGGGGTTGAGGGAGGCAGTGAGGGAGGGATGATGTGGAGGCCGTGTCAACCAGACAATGCCCGACGCCCTGTCGATGCGTGCAGGCCAGTGCCAGCCAGTGTCAGCCGGACGATGACGGTAGCCAAGGAAGTGTCCGAGGCGGCGCTGAAGCTTCATTCGTTCGGTTTTTGGTTTATGATTGCAGCGCGAGGTGTGACAGACGCACGCTTTGCTTCAACAAATCCTCCGCCTTCCTTCCTCATTTCGTCAGTTATCGTCGTCGTCGTCGAACCTCGTCCTCGATCCTCGAACCTCGATCCTTGATTCTCGAGGTTCGAAACTCGATCGTCCTGGCGGGTGCGCTGAGGCGCACTTGAAAGGCTGCGGGTGGGCCTCCGTCTCGGCCGCCGCTACCCACCCCCCCTGCACCTCCCTCAAGCCCGGGCCCTTCTGAGGTACAAGGCATGACAACGATAGACTGTGAACATTGAAAATGATCCCAATGCGACCCTACCTAGAAGTTGGAGCCCCTAGAAAACCAGCATTAGCTGCTATGCTGCTCTGCTCTGCGATGCGATGCTATGCTATGCTGCGCTGTGCTGCGCTACGCTATGCTCTGCTCTGCTCTGCTCTGCTATGCTATGCTGCGCTGTGCTATGCTGTGCTGTGCTATGCTATGCCATGATATGCTGCGCTATGTATGCTATGCTATGCTATGCTGTGCTGTGCTGTGCTGCGCTATGCTGTGTTGCGCTATGCTATGCTATGCTATGCTGTGCTGTGCTATGCTAAAGCTCGGCGAAACTACAATGAAGGTAAGCTAAGGTAAGATAAACCTGAGCTAAGATGACACTAAGTTAAGCTAAGATGAATAAGCTAAGCTAAGATCAGATAAGCAACGCTAAGCTAAGGGGGCATCACGGCGGATGCCGGGGGAACCGCCCGGGGCGAGGAACAATGCCCGGCCCTTTAAGCATACAGGGTAAGAACCCTTCCAGGCAGAGCCTAGGTAGGGAATAACTTCAACAACCCCAGCTCCAAACGTAAATGACAATTATGGCGGTGATGGTGGTGATGACGATGATAGCCGTTTTTGGCTTCAAGTATTCGGGGGATCCGACTGCACGACTGCGCGACCGACAGCAAGCGGTGACCCCTCGACGGCGATGGAGGTTGAGTTCTCTGACACGCCGCAGCCCAAGGAGAGGTCGAAGGCCAAGAACCGAGCGCCATCTGCTGGCAAGGGCAAGCAACAGTCTCGGAGGGGGCGCAACTCGGCCAAGCAGGCCAAACGTCGCACGCCTCCGTCGTCGGCTGGGACGCCGACCAAGGTGGTGACCCCCGTCAAGCGAAGCCTGGGCAAGGAGTCGGTGAAGGGGAAGAAGACGACACAATCGGCCCGGTCACCTCCAACTAAGCTGCGGAGCCGTGGCGTCGCCGTCGGGCAGTTCACCCTCGGCTCCGATTGCACGGGCTACGACTCG